AAAGTAAGGTGAGGCTGAGAAATGAGCAATGGGGAGATGCGGTCAACTCCCTCCCTCTCCCCGGGCATTGGGAGCCTTCCTCCATGACCAGCTCCCATCAAGGAAGTGGTCCCGCCCAAGCTGTGAGGACCCTGGGAGTAATGGCCCTAAGAATAACTTCATTTATTTAGGTTCCTTCTCAAAGGAGCTTGGTCATGGTGATGGTGATGTAAATGATAATTATAGCCACATTTGATGATCTTTATATAATGTGGTGACTCGTTTCCTCTTTAGAACACTCCCTCATTCTCATCATACCTTACCCCCAGATAAAGATAGGGATCCCAAGGTGGCCAGAAGTGGCCAAGCGACCTTCCCGAGTCCCAGAATGAGTTGGGCAAGCCATACTACAAGGTGCTTTTGAACCACAGTCCTTGATTCTAGACCTTCTTGCCCTAGTTAACCAGCTCTGAATATACTTGATGGAAGTGTTGCAATCTGGGGTCTCCTCATTTTCAGAAATTGGTTCTAGCACTTCTTACGCTCTAATCCATCCCCTCAATATAAAAGAGCCCCTGACGAGGACCCAGTTTAGCCTGAACTATCCATCATCATCTTCATTTGGCTTAAGATATAAAAGTTTTCAGAGCCTGTATTCAAAACTCTAAAAATATCCCTTTTGATCAGGGTGGCATCTGTCCTGGTCACCGGCCTTAGGCTTAGATGGCCTGAATTATTTGGCTCCCGCATGCAGCCTTCGCTAAAACAAAAGATCTGGCGTGAATAATTTAAACCCCATTCCCTTTCCCCTCCGCAGATTTCCCATGCCACACCGGGCCGCATTTCAGCGCCAGCAAAGATGTGCTATTCCTGTCCCTGATGAATGCTTCCTTCTTGGGAAAGTGACTTTAGGGGCTGCAGATGTGCTAGGAGGAAGGGCTCAGACCAGGATGGACATCGCACCGTGTGAGCCGGACCGCCCCGCCCCATCCCATCCCGGCTCATTCTTCGGGAACGTTGGATGTCCGGCTTGGCCCTCCACCTGATCCAGGCTGGATGCACATCACTCAGATGCCCGGTCTTTCATCTCTCCCTTTCCTCTTTGGGGACCACTTTGTGCAGAGCCAGACTCACTGCCTTCCTCCTTTGGAGTTTCCTTCAGCCTTTAGCTGATGAAAGATTTCAAAGGGAAGTTAGACAAGGAGGGGGGTAAATGAAATGAGAGCAGCAAGGAGCCTCCAGGAACCACAGAACGCTTTCAAACTGCCTTCACCACATCGCCTGCCCCCAAACGGGAGCCTGGGTTGAAAATGTCCTACTTGTCTTAGCCACCTTCTTGGTGAAACAGCCAAGTGCTCAATGATTTGGGGGCTGACTGGCCAGGATGTGGGTGACTCAGAACCACTGCTTCACCTGTGTCTGTCCTCAGGACAGTTCTGTCTTTGGTTTTTTCAGAGGGTCGGTGGGGAAAAGCGAAGGGAGAAGATTTCAGGCTTCGAGTCTGCTCTTTGCTAGCCTGCTGCCCCCAGACTCCTGGGCCGGCGGCTGTGCATGGGCACTTTTCCCTGCCCTCGCTTCCAAGCTGGTCATGTGTCTGGTTGGTGTCAGACCACAGAGGTCAGAGGTGTTGGATCAGTTCTGTTGGGATGGAAGGGAGAGTAGGCCGGGGCGGGGAGGGGGTAAGGGGGGCTGAGAAGAAGGAGACTGGCTAGCACCAGCCTGCCCAGCAGCCCCTGTGCCCTCAGCTCTGCCTCAAGGCCCAGGGGGATGAGAAGGCCTCTAGTTTGTTGACCCTCTGAAACTCAGAAGGGCAAGCTGAGAGGTACATGTGCGCTGTCCTGCAGGCAAGCCCGAGGCCCTGGCCTTCCAGAAGTCCCTGCATCTTCCCTGCACAGCCCTGGGTACAGAGCTTGGTCCCCCCAGGCAGGCTGTGACTGGATGCTGGGGACATCAGTTTTCTTGATGGCTGGGCCTGGAGGGTGGGCAGACCTTGCTAATGGATGGTAGAGGAAGGGAGTAAAGACGAGGGGGCTGTGATGGGTGAGTCACAGAGCAGAAGGCTGCCAGTTACTGACCCTTGGGCTTTCCTTCTGATATTTGAGGCTGCCAAGGGGAAGAGCTCTTATGACTGGACTGGTGTCCAAAGCAGCCGAGAATGCTGAGCATGCCCCACTGATGCCTGGGTGGCCCAGTGTCTTCAGACTGAAATGTCTGGATGGAGTGTTGGACCCGATGGCCCTCAAGTTCCCTTCTACCCGGGGCATGCTCTGACACACACTGTTATTTCTGACACACACTATAACGAGTGCAAGGAACTTCTAGGGCGGCCCCCCACACCCCCCCCCCCAGTCTCCTGCCCTGCCCTAGTATTTTGGCTGTGCCCTGCGGGAGCTTCCTCTTATACCCACCCAGATCTCTGGGAGCAGCTACTCTGTGCGGACATCCACAGATATGGAGGACGGCGCGCCCCTCCGCCCACATTACCCCCCTCGGCCTCCCGTCCCTCTGCCTCCCATCCTGCCGGGCCTCCCCGGGATGTGTATTCTTGTTGGCAACTCTAACAGACTGGGCTTCCCAGTTCAGCTCTGGCACTTACTTGCTCCGCACCTCCCGGGCCAGCTTGCTCATCGGCACGGTGGGGTGAATAATGCCTCCCGGAGGCAGGCTGGCTGGGGGGGGGGTGCGAACTCTGGCCTGGGAGGCAGACCCAGCTGCTCACTGGCAGTATGGCCTCTGGGAAATGGCTTCACCTCTCTGCGGCCCAGCTTCCTCCCCTAAATGCATGCCGTGAGAGTAAATACCTCATAGGGCTGGGTGAGGATGAAACGAGCTAAATGCACCTGTGTTTAGAACAGTGCCTGGTGCAGACTTCACGAGGGCTGTGGCTTTGCAGGGCTGCTCTCATAAGGACAGAGGGAGGTGGCTCTCAGTGCGCAGTGCCCATTCGTGTTATTGCACCCTGAGTGGAAAGCAGGGGGCTGTTTCCCAGGGCTGTAGGGGACCAGTGGTCTTAGGGGCTCCTTTAGAGCCAAGACAGATGACTCTGAGTGAGAAGGAAGGTTCCCAAGTGAGGGCCTCGGCCTTCCTTCCTGGACTGTAGAGGTGAGTCCTGTTTCTTCCACAATAAGATAGCTTGTGGAAGGAAGGGCTGGTGATCACACGGATCAGCAGCCTGCCTCCGTGGGCCACAGGGCTCAGCCTGAAGCCTGAGGCCAAGTTGAAGGCCCCATGTCCTAAAGGATCAGGACTGAGCAGAGGAAAGGTAGACCCACTGAGAATGTAGGGAACAGGATCTCTCTGGGCCCAGCAGCACTGGTGCCCGTAAGCCTCAGTCCCCATCAGGGCTGGAGCGTCTCGTCTGGCCCATACCACATGCCCAGGGACTGCACTCAGCTGGTGCCAATCACGATCAGGATGTCCAACAGGCTGGCGAGGGCTCACGCCTGGCCACGTGAGGGATGGCTGGCAGGTGTGCGGCTGGCTTGGGGCCCAGCCATCCCACTGCTGTTGGCACAGCTCACGTCAAAGCCCACGCTCTGGTGGCTGGTCCCCTGTGGGACTTCATCCCTCTGGGGTGCCACCATCCATGTGACCTGCATCTTGGCTCTGGGCTATCCTCAGAGCAGAATGAAAGAGCTTTCTCTAGGCAGGGGAGAGTCATCCTACTGAGGCTGTACACAGGCACTTTTATATCCACAGCTAAAACACTAGGTCACCACCGGTGAGAGAGGCTTTAGGGACGCCCCCCCCCCCGTTGTCTCCTGCTGCCTTGGTTGGATGTGCAAAGGGTACAGGGAAGCAAGGCGAGAGAGCACAGCCTTTGAGGCTCCTTCCTGTGACCTGATTCCATTCAGGCTCAACCTGATTTCTCATGGAGACTCGGGCTCGTTCTGGCTCGGGCCCTTCCCTGCTAAGTCCACATGTTCTGTAGCCTCCCCTGCTCACACTGGGCTTGGCCCTTGGGAGGAGATTAAAGGGGGGAGGCTCCACCCAGGCACCAGGGAGCCTGCCCTGGCCAACAGTGCATGGGTGCGAGGGGGTGGGTCTGGCTTCTGCCCCGGCCAGTCCTGCCCTGGCTTCCTTCCCTGACATGATGAGCCGGCTCTGGATGGACAGTCTTCCCAGCTTCAAGGAGCCTGTGCTGCCCACAACATCACCCGTGACATCCTCTTGCCCTGACAGTCAAGCCTGGGTCTGATCAAGCTTCTAGATGCAACTGTCAGGAGAACATGTTAAACAATGTCACAGGATATAATCAGAAAATCCATAGGACAGATGACCTGGTTCCTTCAACAAATAAATTGCAAAGAAGGTGAGACAGAGAGAGAGAGAGAGAGAGAGAGATGGGGGGGAGAGAAAGAGAGAGGGGTGGTGCAGCTAAGAGACTGAAAGAGACTCAGGAGACAAATTGCCCAATCTTAATACACAGACCTTATTTAGGTTTCGATTCAAACAAACCGCAAAAAGAAAAGAGAACAGTTTATGGGTCAATTGGGGAAATCTGAAACTGCCTGGTTATTTCATGATATTAAGGAACGACTGGTAATTGTTTTTGATGTGATCATGGTGTTGTCATGCTTTCTAAAGAAGGATCCTTCGGTTCAAGGGGGACACACTTAAATATTACAGACCACTTGCTGTCTGGGAGCCAAGTGGGGAGAGGCAGGGAGTAGGGAGGGGACACATGAACCAGAAGATGGTAGTTGTTGAGTGTGGGTGATGGGACAGGGGGCTTCATTATCACATTCATTTCTGCATATCTTTGAAAAGCAGCGTGATAAAATCTGGAAGTAGGAGGGGGAGGAGGGAGGTGGAAAGGTAGGGTGGAGGGGCCACCAAGACTGGCTTAGGTGCTAAGAGCCTAGAGACGGTGGCCAACACCAGACCCCAGGGTGACCATCCCTCTCTGGCTTCCCCGAGGCCTCCATTCCAGGGGCCTCCATGGCATGGGGGGTGGTTCTCAGTACAGGAGCCCAATGTGGGGACGGGACGTGGGCTGGGGGCGCCAGCAGGGCACTCACCGTGGAGAGGCAGCTCCTGTCCTCCCGGATGATGGCGCCGAAGCCCAGGAAGCCCGTCACCATGACAAGGGCCCCTGCGAAGATGAGGATGTAGGCAGACGCGGCGAAGGTGCTGGAGGCCAGGACACTGAGGTAGCCGCTCTTCTCCACCAGGGTCCAGACGCCCACGGCCATGACGGCGGCCCCGCCCACCTGCAGGAAAGCCCAGGTCAGGGCAGGTGGCCGCTGCGGGTCCACAGCTGCCATCAACAGAGCGCCCACCATGCTCCAGGCGCTTTTAATGCACCATCTCATTCAGTCCTTCAAAGAACCCGAGGGAATAGTTTGGTCACCCATTTCACAGATGAGGAAATCGAGGCGTGGAGAAATTAGGAGACTCGTTCATAGTCACACACCTAAGCAAGTGGCAGGAACGGATTTTGAATCTGAGGCTGATTCCCAATTCCGTACTTCTTACCATATTGTGTCCCCAGGAGATGCAATGCCCTTCCTCCCACAGTGCTCTTTGGGCTGGCCCATGGTAGGGCACCTTTATATGCGCCCCATTTCAGCCTTATGTTTGTCCATGTGGGGAGCACGCCAGGGCTTCTCATCTTATCTACAGATGACAAAACTGGGGCCCACAGAGGAAAGGCCAACTGCCCAAGGTCCTGCCTCTGGTTAGGAACCGTTAGGGGTAGTTAGGGGCAGCGGCAGGGCCAGGACTTGAACTCAGAGCCACCCTGCCTCCCTCCACCACCAAATGGATGCACGCGGCACAAGCTGGAGTCGGTCTGGGGCAGCAGGAGGACTGGGAGAGATTTCTTCCTTGCTAATGGTGCCATTTTCTTCCAGCCCTGAGAAGGAGGCAGGGACAGGGCACTGCTGACTGGCAGGTCAGGCCGATGGCTGGGGCATAGAGCTGGGGTGGCTCTCTAGCCTGGTTCTTTCTGCATGGAGGCTGAATGACCCTTTCTGTGACTTGTATGCTCAGCAGAAGTGTGTGTGTGCGTGTGTGTGTGTGTCCTCAAGGTGCTGGATGGGGCAGTATTAGGCTGTCTGCCCAGGGTGTTGGTGGGGGGCAGGACCCCTGGGACCTCTGACCATCTCTGCCTTCTGCTCCTGGGAAGGCAGACTTCTGTCTGGCCCCTAGTCTCCCTGCCTCCCTTAAAGATGGGTTCTCTTTCTCAAATGGGTGGCGAATCTCCCTCAACTGTGTCAAAAGCTCCACAAGCTTCCCTGGCTCAGTCCATGCAGACAAGCGGCTCCCATCCATCCCAGAATGACTCTGTGTAACCCACCCTGACATTTCAGTGTCTGTTCCCGGCACTCACAGGCGTCAGCTGAGTGAGCAGAAGGTGGTTCCGGGCACTTACCGTGCCCGAGGCACCTACATCCTGCAGCTCAGTACTCTCTCTTCTGAGCCTTGCAGCAGTTCTGGGGCAGGGGGTGGGGGGGGCACGTAGCTTTCTTTTGCAGATGAAGAAACTGAGGCTTGGAGAGAAGAATGTGCTCAAGGTAACACCATTAGAAAGTTTCAGAATTGAGATTCAAAGCCAGGTTTTCGGTCCTAGGATTCCACAGGTTGGGCTGGGTCCGCTGTGCTACTCACTTTGCTTATAAAATCTGTCTGCTTTCTTCCAAGTGCTTTTTATCCTCCTCTGCACCTCCAGCAGGTAAGAGAAACAGGTAGAAGGACATCACACAGCTGCGCCTCTCCAAATGGAATGAGAGAGGCTAAGGTGCAGCAGTCCTTCAATTCCATGATGCACATCTCCCCCCACCTGCCCTGTCCCCCCACTTCAACATCTCTACGACTGAGACGCATCTTACGATTATACTTGGCTGCACGTTTTCTTAGTGGTACAGAAAACAACGGTGTATCTCACAACTGGTGGTATCTTCAGATTCAGTGAAATTCTGGACTATGATAGGTTTTGAAATTCTCTGTGAGCATAGGCTCTCTCTGGCCCGTACAGCCTCCATGACCAGGGAGGCAGTTCCTGAGTCTGATTTAGGGGAACTGTGTCCAGTGAGGCTTTCCAGCAAAATAGCCTGCACATGTTCTTTCTGTCTCCTGCCCCCGGTGTGACTGAAAGGCTTGGGTAAGGGCCCCAAGTTTTCATAGCTAGCCGTGTGACCTAAAGAGAGTCAGTTTCTTCATATCTCCAGTAAAGAAGTTATCTCAGACTCGTGATGCCCAGCCTAGAACCACCAAGGACTCCTTCGATTACTTTTTCCTGTGGATCTTATATTTTGAAGGCTCCTGCCTACCAAATACAGTGCATTAATTAAGTAATAATTCATTTCTCATTTTTTATTAATCAAAGGCACATCAGAGTGCCAGGAAGAGATTCTGAGCAGCATGAAACAGTCAATGTGACCACTTTGCATTGATCTTTTAATGTGTATAGTCTCTTTATAGAAACATACACATGATCCATTATCCATTAGGTTTGTCAACCCCATAGGCTGAGAATCAGATTCAGGACCCTCCATCTGGGCATGTGTGGGCTTAACCAGGGACACTTTATATGTTGGGGGACATGGAACCCACTGAAAATCTGATAGAAAGCTTTGGACACTTTGGCCAGAGAAATGGTAAGCCACGTAAAATAACGTATTCAGGTTTGGGGTTTGCAGTCTAACCTTGTAGCACGCAGCGAGCCCTAGTGTAGACAGGTCTCTAAGGCCTCCTCCACCTTGACACCCAGAGAAGGTGGCATTTCTCAGCCTGGCTGCAGAGTCTCCTGGGAGTTCCAAGAAACCCAAGCCACACTCCAGGTCAATCTGTGGGAGTGGGGTCCAGGCGTGAATATTTTATTAAGTTCCCAGGCGGTGCCTCGGAGAACCGAAGCTTGGGTTCCATATTTAATGGAGGGTCAGAGTGTCCTGCCCCTCTCCCCCAGGAGGTGGTGCTGTGCTGAATCTCACAGAAGAAGCTGCTTCCGGGGAGATTCGGGGGCCTGCCCTGGGTGTAGCTGCCTGGGTAGCTCTTGACACTTGTTCAGGACTTGAACGCCATCCTTTTCCCTGTCCATGCGAGGCTGTTCTCTTTGGGGTTGAAGGTGGGTTAGTGAGGAGCAGAGTTTCCAGTCCAAAGGGATGAAAGTCCTATTATGAAAAAAGGGGAAAAAAAAAAAACCCATGGGGCTCCCAGGGGAAGGAGGGGGGGCTGTAAAAAATGCAGCCCCGGGCTTTTTCCGGTAGCGGAGTCTGGAGAAGACACGCAGAAATGGCACCTCGCAAGGGGAAGGAAAAGAAGGAAGATGTCACCCCCATCCCCTCGGATAGCACCCGCAGGAAGGGGGGTCGCCGTGGTCGCCGTCTGTGAACAGGATTCCTCAAATTAAAAAAAAAAAAAAAAAAAAAAATGCAGCCCCGGGAGAGGAGCAGTACTGATTCCACTAATGGAGGGCTGCTCTCTTGCCAGTCACAGAAAGGGCTGGAATTTTGCAAAGCCAAGCCGGGAGAGCCCACAAGCCAGCCAGGGTGGCAGCAGGGCCCCCAGCCATGAGGGAGGGTCTGGAAGCAATCTGAAGGGACCCACTGCCCTGACTGAGGTCCACGGAACACATTCATACTCGTTCTGATGTCCATGGGGACACCAACCCTCCCCTGGGGTGTCACATCTGGTGGAGAAGTTAGTTAGTGTCTGCAGGAGACACCGAGAGGGATTTGCCGTCAGGAACAAGAGGGTTTCAAGTCTTCCAGGGCGTCTCTTGCTTGGGACTTGGTCAGCTCTTTAGAAAACAATCTTGCATCTGGACAGGAAGAGTAAAAGCTGCTAAATGTTGGAATGTGTCACCAGAGGAGGACTGGGAGGTAGAAGTCAGCGGGCCTAGGTTCTAGCTCTGGCTGTGCCCCTGCCTCACCATGTGTCCGGGTACCAGACACTTCACTTGGCTGAACCTCAGTTTCTTCATCTGTAAAATGGTGCTGCGGGATGAGAATATCTCTGAGGTCTCTTCCACGTGGATGAAATGTCCCTGTTTGTACTGGAGGACAACTTTCTGCCGATACATCTCCAGGAAGATGCTTCTGGACCAACGTTCGTGGCTTTCACTCCAGCTGTGTGGAGACTGCCCAGATCAGCAGGAAGAGCAGAGGAAGGGGAGCTGCGAGGCGGAATGATGTGGGGCGGAGAGAGATCTGACCCCAGTGAGCTATTTCAACTGCTATTTGCACAGAGTTGATTCAACAGTATCGGGCTCTTTACAGAAACTGTGGAATATTAAGCACATTTTTCAAAACCATAGCCTGTAGCCGATTAGCCAGAAAGCCCCACAGAGGGTGAAGCTGGCCTTCTTGCCAACGAGGACCCAGGCGTCCAGCAGGGGCATGGCAGGTCACCCACGCCTTGTAATTTTAGGAACTTCCAATCTATAGAACCAGAACGTTGCTCATGTCATCACATGAGCAGGAGGAGGATTAGCCTGAGCAGCCCCACATGGCTGCCCTTACAGACATCAGGCAGCACCCTCCCACCCCCCAAAAGCAGGCATAGAATATAAAAGTAATTGCAGGATTTTCTTTGTCAGGCTACTGAAGGGTTTCCGTGCTGGCATGTGGCGGCAGGACTGGTGGGGGGAGCAGGGGCCAGGATGGCGGGGCTCTCAATAAGGAAGGGTCCCCCAGGCCTGAGTCCCCTGCCTTCAGTGGGAGGGAAGCCCATGACACGGGGAGGCAGGAACACATGGGGTGGCTGTGTAATTCACTCCTGTATGTGTTTGCTGGGTGCCTCCTAGCTGCCCAGCTCCACGCTGGACTAGAAAGGTTTTGGAACTGGATGTGTGTTCACCCATTTAGAGTCACACTGGGAGCTCCTTCTCCCCTGGTCAGTCTCATAAATGGCACCCCCATCCGCCCAGAGCAGAACCCCCAGGGTCACTAGGGACTCCTTACTCTCCTCCCAGGGACAGCGGTGTGCGGGTCCCCAGACGTTCTCCCCACCCGGCTCCACGCACCCTTCCGGCTTTGGCTCCCTGCCTCCCCACCCCTGCATCATCAGCTTCCCAGCCCCTGCATCCAGCCCAAACTCCGGCCTGGCTCCCTCTCCAGCCTGAGCTTGATTAATGACCAACACCCCCCAGGGCCGGCCAGCTTTTCTCCCAGGCCCTGTCCCCGATGTCCCTGTGGCCTGGGTACCAGTTCTGACTGAGTTGAATCTTCAAGGCTAGGTTTGTCCTGCTAAAAGCCACTTTCCGCTTCAA